CACACACACACACACACACACACACACACACACACACACACACACACACACACACACACACACACACACACACACACACACACACAGGCACACACTGCTCAGACACATTCCTGTTTTGCCACAGAGTTTCCTGATGTTGACAGACTTCTAGCCTATCCTGAGAGGGAGGGAGGAGGGGACATACCAATACAAGAACTCTGATCCACAGAGTAATGAGTTAAAGGTGGATACTGAGGGGCTGATTCTTCCGACACTTGAGACTTTGAGGACTATAATTTGATAACTCTGCCTCAACTCTGGACATGTTACTCATATTTTAGAGCGGCTGCCTAGTCATTGACAGAAACCCTGGTGGAGTGTTTTGTTTTTTGGAAACCACAGGAGACATCCTCTGTCAAACAGTGGTCATTTCTGCTGAAAGAGGCAACATGTCACGGGAGGTGAAGCCAGAGATTGTGTCGCTGTGTCCTCTCGGCATACCAGCCGCCCCAGAGCCTGAGCTGTTGTGTATCTATGGGACGGGGGACTTGGGTCGTTCACTGGGCCTGCGTCTGCTCCAGTCTGGCTACAGGGTGGCATACGGGAGCCGCAGACCTCACAGCTGTGGCCCGTTGCCTCAGGGAGCTCAGGTACAAAACACAGCAGGACACTGGACTTGGGGATTTGTTGTTGGGGATAAAAGTACAACCCTCTCACTGGAATTCAGCTTTTGTTTACAACCTTTTTTTGATTATTGTAATCAATAGCTAAACTTGAGAGTGTGTGCTGCATAATGACAAGTGCATATAGTTAGCTATGGGGAAAATTAACTGAGCTAGAAGGTCACTGATGAAGTGTGTGTCAGATAGCTATTCATTACTGAGTGTGTTTTCACATGTAATGGCCGTGAATGACAGTAGCACTATTTGTTTGCATATGTTTTTCAGGTGATGAGCCATGAGGCAGCAGCCCAGTCAGCAGGTCTGGTCTTTCTTTGTATTCACAGAGAGCACTATGGATTCCTGGAGTCTCTCGCACCCCAGCTCAATGGGAAGGTACCTTGTTGCACAGTCGGATGCTTTTGTGTCACACAGCAGTATGTTCATTTCTAACTTTTAATCCCCTCCGCTGATTTCATTGATCGAAAGGTGCTGGTGGACGTCAGCAACAACCTCAAGAAGAATCTATATCCGGAGGCCAACGCTGAGTACCTGCAGAGGTAAAATGAAATCTGGTGATAATGATGATGACCTAAAACATTCAGAGCTGTTGTGGACCGCATGGTTTGAACCCTCAACAGCTGGTGGAACATGGAGCAAAAGTTTGTTGTTTGTTTTCCAGGCTGATCCCTGGAGCTCATGTGGTGAAAGGTTTTAACACTTTGTCTGCCTGGGCTCTGCAGAACGGACCGTCAGATGCCAACAGACAGGTACTGAAGTTTCCGAACATTTTACATATTCAGAATCAGATCTGTATAAAATCACCTCCACAGAGGAGGTTCTGTTTTCATTTGTGTGTGTTAGTTAGCAGGATTATGCCAAAACTACTTGAGCAATTTCTATGGAATCTTGTGGAGGCAAAAGTTACAAACCATTATATTTTGGAGCAGATCTGGATAATCCTTCCTTTAACATGGCAACACAGAGTGTTAGCCTTGACAGAGATATGCCCCAAGAAGGTTATGTTTTCACCCCTGTCCATTTGTTTGTTGGTTTGTTTATAAGCAAGATAACGCAAAAAAAATACTTGGCGGATTACCACCGGATGCATCGGTCTATTTTCAACATTCAATGATTTCTTCTTCAAGGAGTTGTCAGCCTTTCAAAGTGTTTACACATTGGGGTGCTGACCAACAAGTTAAAAATAATTGTCTCCTTCCAAGAGGAAAACATTTAACATTATATTATTAACTCATTTGAAGTTTTGATCAAAACCAAATCCGAGCAAAAGAAGCCAAATCTGAGTAGACAGCCTTCTGTCTCTGCTGTGATTGCCATCTCTGATGTGTCCTTGAATCAATTAACTCCACAATCTCTTCAAGATCTGTACTTCCTTTCACATGCTTTGTTCTCTCTCTGGGTGCTGCAGAGCTGCAGAATATGAGGGTTTTTCTTTTTCATTTGATCTGGTTGCGGAATCCCAGAGGACGCTAAAGCCACACAGGAGTGCGTTGTGTTGTGGAGGGAATATTTATACGTATTGAGGTGTGTTGTGGTGTTTGGACCACCATCAGCAAAAATCAAATATGTTGACTGAGCATTGTTATTAGTTTTTACCTGCTCTTCGCTACTCCAATTGGTTTTGGTATATGTAGGAAGCTACAGTTTCTCAAGTTACTTTCATGTTCAATCCTCTGGAGTAAGAACCATCCTTTCATCATTGTGTGTACAAAGGAATAAATATAAATGTATAAATATGAAGTGATGAAGACGTTCAGACATGTTTTAAAAACTATGGATGTTTTCATGTTCCAGGTTTACCTGTGTGGAAACAGTGCTGAGGCAAAGCAGGCAGTGGAAGAGATAGCCACCAAACTGGGCTTCACAGTTCTGGATAGAGGGTCTCTGTCTACAGCCAGAGAACTGGAGGACTTCCCCCTGCAGCTGTTCCCTGAGTGGAGGCTGCCTCTGCGCGTGACCGTCGGCCTCTCTGCCTTCTTCTTCTTCTACGTGCTCACCGGAGACGTCATCTACGCAAAAGTTGTTAATGGGAAAGACATCTCTTTTCGAATCATGGTGTCCCTGGCCAACAAGGTAAAGACTGCTTAGTGTCAGCATGTGTTTCTCTTGGACATGTATCCTCAGAAATCATTTAATTCAAATCATTGACACATTCATGTCTTCACAAGAATCTCTTCTGCTCTTATCCTTTATCTTTCAGGTGTTTCCCATTGTGTCGCTCATCATGTTGACTTTGTGTTACCTTCCTGGCATCATAGCTGCCATCCTTCAGCTCTACAGAGGAACCAAATACAAGTCAGACATCAAAACAGATGACTTGATTTTTAGTGCATGTGTACAGGTTCACAATTTATGATGTGTGATTGTTGTTGTAGGCGTTTCCCTGACTGGCTGGATCGCTGGATGCTGTGCAGAAAACAGCTGGGACTAATAGCACTTGGCTTGGCCTTTCTACATGTGCTCTACACCCTCATCATCCCTATCAGGTACAAGTGATTTTCCTGAAATATACTTTTTAGATTTGTTATTCATTTCAACAAATAATGGAAGCTTGGATAGAATCACAACTGTTACCAAAACTACTGCAAAACTAGAGTGATGAATTGACTGGATAAAATAAGCAGATATTGGCCTTTCACAGACGCTCATATGAATATTTTACAGAATAAACAATGTCGTAAAGAAGTGAATATAGTTTTATATTTTCCATAAAAATCTGTTTATTTTCTTCATTCATGTTCTATATGTTTGTTTCTATTTCTATTTTTATTTCTATTTATTTATTGTAAAGATGATGGTTAAAGTGTAAAATATCAAGCCTCAATTTAAACATTTTTAAGGGTTTGAGAATGATATCTTAGGAATCATTGCCAAAAGAAAGAAAGGAAGAAAGAGCTGTGTGGTTGCTTTGGTGATCCAGAGGGGTAACTTGGTATTGGAGGGTTGGTTTAATATGAGTTAGTCATCACACAGGTAGAGCTGTCTAGATTGTCCCGATGCTATTTCTCTAAATTCTTTTATCATTTTCATCCCCAGATATTATGTGAGATTCAAGATTGGTGAAGCTATCATCTCACGGGTAATGCAGCCACACAGATCGAAAATATTAATGTGTGATTCATTCAAAGCATGAAACATGTATCAATGATACAGTACAGACACAAACTATAACTGTACTGTCACTTCAAGAGCAAGGAGAACACAACAAGAGAGTTGGACACCACCACGGCCTGGCGTACAGACTCCTACTACTCTATGGGGATTCTGGGGTTCGCTGTTTATCTTCTGCTGGGAATAACGTCTCTGCCCTCCGTCAGCAATGCTCTCAGCTGGAGGGAGTTCAGCTTCGTACAGGTAGACACTGGCATGTTTATTTGAATTAAATGATTTGCTGACATTTGAATGTGTGAGCTTTACTTTGTCCGCACATCAGTAACACTTTATGGACACAAATTCTACGTGAGCTGTGTGGGATACTGTGTAGCACATCAGCACTTAACTCTGCATCCTGTTTAAAAACACTGGTTCTCACAACTGGAGGAATGAGACTGTGGAATATTTTCACAACAGTTTCCAGTGGTGGAAACATCTGGTCTCCTGAGAAAACTACCCAACAATTTTTCCCTGGATTTTTCACCTTAAAAGCCTCGTCAGTAATGCGGGCAGTAATTCGCATAATACACGTCTACATGCGCTGGTGTCTGGATCACAACGGAGTGGGCTAGCTGCAGAACAGACTAAACTTAATCAGGAGGGTGGCCTTAAAGAGACACAAGCTAAAACTAAGCATTTCAGAGGCTGAATCTAGGAGATGCAGCAATGGAGAGTATGAGGAATTGAATGTGTTTTCTGAACATTAGAGCACATTAACGTTTTCAAGTAATAACCCCAATTAAGATTATGAACTTGAATATAAAGACAACGTCTCCTTTAAATGTTGTGTAGTTGCTACTGGCCTGCTGGTTTCCCAAGACATCTTAAATGCCAAAGTTTTGTTTCTTTAGACCCTCGATCACCACACAAGTTAAGAAACCACGTGTGTGTATTCTCTTCATTTAGATTTGCACTTAAAGGCTGCAACCACTTAACTAAATGAAACACAGCAAAGGTGTCGAACCCCTGTAGGCTTTTTAGTCTTGACAAAAAGGAAACTGAATGGCAGATAAGCCGGCCATTATAGTGCCAATTCCATGATATTTCATGAGCTGGCTTCTGATAATAAGAATACAAACAAGCTCATTGGTAAAATTTAATATGGACCAGATGATTATCTCACCTCTTCACCGTGGCCTTGAAAAGCTGCAAATGACAACTAGATTGATGATTCAGTTAACAGAGACACATGCTTCTAATATTAAACAGGGTCACTTGGTATCCACTTAAAATGTGTCCTCTGGAGAAACTTCAAAGTGTGTTGTGAAATATTCTGTGTACTATTGCACCTGTTTATGCTCCAGGCTGCTGAGGTTTATCTAAGTGTAGAAACCTACAGAAAGAGGTTACTGGACCTTTATAAGACGTGTGGATACTGGTAGAAAAACAGTTTGCTATGATCTTCACATCAGGTAATTTCGCCAAGACTCAAGTGATTCTGTGCGTCGGCTCAGATGAAACCCTCTGGCATGTTGGTGATATTTTCATCGTTTCCTTGCAAAATTTTCCACTTGATTGTTTTCACTCAGGCAGACACAAATATTTACCTTTTTTTTCTCCCTCTTTGACCAATCAGAATGAAATTGGACTCACTACAGGGAACAAGCTCATTCATAAATGTAACTGGGTCATGTCAAGCTCATTTTCTCATTCCACACCCCTCCCCTTCACTCCAGCCCAAATTAGAGCAGAGCTTTAAATGTTAAGTTATTCATCAAATGTAATTTGGGGGGCATATTTTATCCTTGGCCGCAGTCTTAAGGTTTTGTGTATAGAATAGATCTACGGCTGTAGATTTGTGGGTGCATGGACATTCACTATCAACTGCAATATGTTCTAACCAGGTAGATGAGCGTGTTTTATCATGTGTAGGTGTTCATAGCTGCTGCCAGACATGCACAGAAACTGTTCCAGAGTTTTTACAGAGAACACAAATGTTTGAGTCAGTTGCTGCAGACATTTCTCAAACTTTTCTTGCCAGCTCTCTAGTAAAATGCCCAGATGAGCTCATGAGAAAATACAGCAGGAAAGTTCAAAAAGGCTGCTTTGAAGACGTTTCTAACAAACCACGAACGTGAAAATTGAAGAATAGAAATATCTCAGGGAAAAAAAGAGGTGCCATGCACGTAGAAGACGCAAGCGAAGATGTCAATTCGGGATGACGTGATTCGAGAACTGTAAAGGCCAAAATCACTGTTCCACTGTGCACAGACTCATAATTATTATGTCCTGCCTCCTGCATGCTCTATACTCAGGTCGCCCCCCCCCTCTGCCTGAATGTTCTGCGATTCTCTGTTGTTGTGTCTGACATGGACAATTTCCTGCTGCACTCTGCATATGTCAAAGGCAAACTCTCTCCAGAGTCAATTTTCTAGACACTTTTTGTAATTCACATCTGAAAACAACTTATGTAGAGGTCAGTCTTTCCCATTTTACCTTTACACAGTGATTCGATCTATGTTTTCAGAGGTGTAACTCTATGAATCTGTAAATGTAAATGGATTATTTCATTTTTCTCTCCTCCAGTCAAAGCTGGGCTACCTCACGCTCTTCTTCTGTACCCTTCACACCTACCTGTATGGCTGGAGCAGGTTCCTTCAACCCTCGTCCTACAAATGGTTCACTCCTCCTGGCTACATGCTCAGCCTGGTGTTACCGTCTGTGGTGTTGGTGCTCAAGCTGTTGCTCCTGCTGCCCTGCGTGGACCGCAGCCTTACACGCATTCGACAGGGCTGGGAGAGGAGCGACCCGGAGAATGACAGCAAGAAATCTCTGCTCACATAGGACTATCACTAAGAAAACACAGACACAAAGACACCGCAGTGACATAACCTCCAAGAGCTCACTTATCAAGTCACCATAGCCTGTTATTATGCATGTCGTAGATCTGATACTATACAGTAATGCTAATGTTCTGCGATCTGTTGTTAAAAAATCCAACAGACAAACTAGTTTTGTTTATTTAATGTGTGATACGATAGCATTGTGTGATGTTTCATGATTCATTCAAACACCTTGGACCTACACGTGTAGAACCACAGACATGTTGAAGCAAGTCTTTTACATGCCTTATACATATATCCTTTCATTGCAGTGACTCATTCAACATCAGTAGCAGCAGTTTGGCCATGTCTGAGTTATATATGTGAGCTTCTCAACAACATTTAGCTACACTATACTCTGGCTTATGTTTATTGGATTATATTTTTTTTATTTGGTTCGCACTACAGTACCGTGAAATGTTCTTCAAAATAAACTTCACTGGGACTGAGCAACATTGTCTTGTCTCTCTTGTTCTCCTCCTGCCATATATAAATATCTCATCCTGTCTGGAAGCTCAGTCAAACTCTGAGAGTTTCTCCCTGCTGAGTCGAGTGTGCTCTGTCTGATCCCTCTCCAGGGTTCATCCCTCTGGCTGATCTGATGCCGTTTTCCAGGAAACATTCACTGTGAGCCACAGGCTTCTCCCGAGTCACTACTGGGTTTCATCACATCAGTAGAGAAAGGAGCGTGCAGGCTGCTCCATCACAGGAGTCCCCCTGCAGAGAGGACATGTTATTTGGTTGTGACAGTACAGAACGGCCCCTGATGTTGTGCTGCAGCAAATCATATTTGCTGATCGTGAAGAAAACCTAGAACTCAAATAACTGGTAGTCGTCAGTGACACATCATCACCAAGCATCAACCTACAAATATTGACAAGGAAGCACACACCATGCAGTGTGTTGTCATGTGCATGGTTGAATTTAAAATGTAAGGCACACAGACATACAGTATACACACACACTAAGGAAGGAGGACAAGTTGTTATAATTAGTTTTACCGTCAACTCACAAGAAGCTACACGTAATAAACCAGATATTATTAAAACAGAAAGATGACCAAACAGTGATATTAGGTTAGTATGGAGAGTTACTGAATATTTACTATAGATAGGAACAAACGTGACAAGTCTTTGAAGTAGTAGGTGTGAGTGTAGGAAGAGGTTCAGGGTCAGAAATGATGTCAAAAGGAGGAGGAGGAGAACAGGTTTAACTTCAAACTGTGCTTACACTTATAAAACAATAACTAATGAAAAAATAAAATGTGTGTATTGAGGAATGTTCTCACCATCAAATTACTGTTCATGATATTTCAATGTGAAACCTAATTACTTCCACCAAAGAGCTCGTGTTTTCACTCCTGTCTAGTTGTCTGTTGTTGGTTTTGTTTGTTTCTTCATTACACAAAAACTACTCAATTGATTTCCATGAAATTTTGTGAAGGCGTGGAGCATGATCCATTCATTTTTAATTAATTTCCCTGTAATTAACATTGTTAGATAGAGTGTCTTTCATGAAATAATTAATGGATCTTGATGGGAAAAAAAACATTCAAGGAATGTGTTGTTTTTATTGTATCTAAAAGTCAGTTTGTTTGTTTTAAGGATGAACATTTCATTGATTATTATCGCTCATTTCTTTTTCAACCAGAGATTATTTGCAGAATGAAATGATGTATGTATTAACTTTGCAAAATAGATGTAAAAAAGTCACACTAATGAAGTGTGATTCAAAAAGTCAATCAAAAGACTTGTGATCGAAAGGTCTTTAATGAACTTCCTCACAGCTTCAGTCTTTTTTTTATTAATCAAGAATGATGGCTGATACAGAGCAGTGCTACCATGTACACTAGCTGTTCATATTCCAATAATTAATAAATCATTTTTTACGTCTCTTAAAATTCTGCAGGGACTTTCAATAAAAAAGGTTGGCGCAATGATTTTCACACAACAAAGGTACAATTATGCTAGAAAACTAAGATGTAAAATGATCGCTGAAAATATATTTTTGTAATGCACATAACTTTTATCTCTTCTAATTATTTTATTTTTGCAGCAACTGTATGATTAATTCAATAATAACATGATTTACATAAGCGTTTGATCTAAGATTTCTCTCTCTCCACACAGACCTAAGTCGAGAAAGGACTTTTATGTGAAAGGTGTACTCTTCAATGCCTAAAGGTCCTTTACAGATCTCCACAGAGACCACCATAATTCTCTGCCTTGGCCCAAACCTCTGCTGAAAACCACCTGATGACCCTGATCTTTGGATTGTTTGGATTGTGAACATATCTATTTTTTAAAATTCTTTATCCACTTCATGTGCTGTGAATCCCAACAGATGCAGCTGTAGTTCGATGAAGAAACTTTGATCAAAACATTTGTGCCGTCTGGATCAAACATGCGTGGACTCACTATAATTATTTTGGCCAGGTACAGTTGAATTACTTGATGTAGGCAATTGTTGATATATGTGGAATAGATTAGATACAAGTAGAGATTTGCAAAACAGATATTGTGCAATATTAAAACCATTAGATGTCCATATTGTCATAATTCTGAACATTAACTCTGTAATGAAAAGTATTGTAAGTTTTTATGATGATCTTTTATGACTTTTTAGTTTTGTACGTTTAGCCTCTGTAATGTAGAGTGTTTTCATTTTTTATGGATTTCCTTGTGTATCATATCTATCTCTGTTTATGTTTGTATTTTGACCTTTACCTGTGTTCCCTTGGTTGCACTCTGTGTTTCATTCTGTGTTCCACTCAGTTTCCTTTTATTTTTATTTGGTTTCACTTGTTTGTCCTGTGCCACCTGTCTCTAGTTTGTCATCAGTTCACTGTGTATGTGAGTCTCTGTGCTTTGTTGTCGTCTTATGTGGTTGTCACATCACATCACCCCGTCGTCATTCCTGGTCGTCATTCCTGGTCGTCATTCCTGGTCGTCATACCTGGTCGTCTTCTTGCCACCTCACATTATCACCCTCTCTCCTTCACGTGTAGGTTCTTAGTGTCTGCCAAGTGTTTTCTATGTTTTTCAGTTTTGCCTTTTTTATTTCTTTTTCTAGTTTTCTTAGTGCTTTTCTGTTTGAGGATTTTTTTGTCAGCCCTGCTTCTTGGTTTCCTGTACTTTTTCTGTTCATGGACTTTTTCTAATTAAAGGAGACTTTTTGTTAAAAGTTTCTGCATTTTTGGGTTCTCCCGCTCTTTTTTTCGGGGGATTTGACATTGACAATTTTTTTTGTTTAATGATGTCCACATATGGGACAATATCCAGACCTTTGCTACACGTATGACCTTAACCTCACTGAACATATGAGGAGTCCAAAAAAAAAAGAACGCCATGTGTTAAGTCAGATGTGGTTTTCTGTGATTTTATGTGCAAAGTAAGTTATAGAATCGAATTGTGCTGACATTTTCCCTCAGATCATGTCCTCGGTCCTAGAGGTTTTGTTTTCATGTGTGTTAGTTTGTTATTTCACAGGGATGCGATATTGGTCAGGATCTTTCCTGACCCATTAAATTTTGGTAAGTATCTCTGTATCTCCATTCTAATGATACTTTTGGAAAGATAAAAGCCTGGAAAACAACCTTTTTGTTTACAACCAGGAGATAAAGTTCTTGTATGTACTGCACATTGTTGTTACTGTAGATTCTGTTACACATACAACACAGCGTAAGTGTAAATCTCAACCAGCTATTTTAAACCAATTAAATGCATAATAAAGGTGCAGTTAACCATGTAAATTATAAACTGAGAACAAGGACTATTTCGACATGAGGAGGATTCTGTTGATTCAGCAGGACGCACTGTATGTTATTATAGTACAGAAATCTGATGACAAAAAAAAAAGTAGATCAGGAAACAAACACTCACGTGAGAAATGGGGAAGCTGTGAAAGTACAAGAGTCAACCCTATTCAGTACATCATATCAAATCCTGAGACTGGTTTCAAGGTAGGATCTACACAAGTAAAACTGTAAAAACAAATTGAACGTACTTGTAATAGATGTGTG